TGTCATTGTCACTCATCACTTCCAAAGTCATTGTTATCCCTTTTGATTAGAGTCTTTCTGAGCACTACAGTCTGTGTGTCAGGAGCCTACTATCACTTGGAACCTTGTCACCTTGTTGTTCTCAAACCTATCTTGTGCTACAATTAGCAAGGTAGTTGCTTCTCCATACCCGTCACAAAGCCCCTATCTTCTATCTTCCAACTATTGCTCCTCCTCAAAACCCACGCCCATACATCTCTGGGTTTTACTTTGAAGGATTGTTATATGTACCACCCCACAAACAACCAGACCACTCCACTGTTCTAGGAGGGAAAGCCCATACACAAGTTCTGAGGAATCTGGGAGGATTGTGTGTTAGTTTATGCGCTTTCTATCATCAGCAACTGGGAGACACTAGAACACCAGGATTGTCTCTCCAAAGCAGAGTGGTATGACATTTTGGCAAGCGTAGGAGACTACAATGAGGCTATTCTGGAGCTCACCGGGGCAGGTTTTTGCTTCAAGTTTGATAGTGGGACTACTACCATGGAAAAACGACATCTTCAAAATGCTCTTTCAAAGTCAGTGGTAGGGACCTAAAGGTGAAGGGAGGAAATATAGTAAAAAAGACAGCCCATATCTCCACAATGCTCCTGCACTTGCCCTGGTAGCATGCTGTGTAAGGTTTTTCTCACTCTTTTATTCACAAATTTAATTTAACTGTTGAATGTGCTTTACTTGGCACTATCAATAATAGAATGGTAGATTTCTCTGAGAATTCATTTGCTCCACAGTATGTACTATTTGTTTTCTGGTTATTTTATATATTTGCCTCATTTGATTTATAGATGGGAGCATTATATGAATCCAATTCAAGAGTTCAGGGGAATGTTCCCCAACATATTTGTAACAACCAAGAGTTTGTTACTCTGGCACACAACTCAGACAAGCTATAGAGGTAATGATGAGGGGGTGGTTACCCTTTAGGCTTCAACAAATTAGTTGTGAGGATACAACAGGAGGACTCGCTGAGGAGTCTCCTTGATCTATTGGGGTATTTATACTACTACAAGCTATTTGTACATGTGTACTGTACAGTTGATGGAGGCAGTGGCTGATGATGTCAGAGGGTGCAGCCCATGTAACCCAGCTTCACTGCGTGAGATACTTGTAGCTAAAAATAAGAAAAGGCAGCACAGCGCAAGAAGGTGGAGTTTGAACAAAAGGAAAGTGCCGCATGGCACAATGTGTGAAAACTAAGAAGGTTAAATAGGAGAATGAAAACTAAAGGTCCAAAAATTGTGTTATGGTGACAATATTTGGCAGGCGTGTTTGGTGATATTAAAGAGTTTGTATGGTGAATAGTTTGCTCTAATTTTTTAATTTTCTTTTTCTTACATTTTACAGAGACAGTCTCAGTTACTTTGGCTTTTTCTGAACCCTCCCATCTCATATTTGACTTTAATGCTTTAGAGGAGGCAGCCAGGGCTTTTAAGCAGTAATCTTATATACTTGTAGCTACCACTTGTATATATTGCGCTTTTTTAATCATTGATCTTTTGACTGTTTTTACATTTTGAAAATAAGTGGAAGTGAAATGATTGGGATTGATCTAGTTAGCTTTGAACGGTGTTTAGGGGAATTAAAGCCATTTATATCAATCTATTGCAAGGCGGTATACAGCTGGGGTGACTTTGATATATTTGGCTTTTTATGCTATAGGCAATTTCTATAATGTATAAGCCTGCATATTTTTGCATCTGGTGCACTATAGTGCATTATAGTGCACACTATAACACACTTTAGCAAGGAACTTTGTAAGTGAACAGATCTGAATGATATTTTTGCTATAATAGCATATTTTTTGCACTTTATTGCATTTATAGCCACATCATGTTTTCCTGATGTATCGCTGCATTTAGTGGGAAGTTGCTGAATCATGGGGTTTTGTCCTGCAGTGGTGAGAGAATATGTTTTGCATATTACATGAGGGAGTATATACATACAATGTGCAGGATGGAGACCCCAGGGTGGTCAGTACCTTCACATAATCATGTTATACAGTTATGGATGTGGAATAGCAGCTGAACTGTCTTGATCTGGGTACATCACTGCTGCAAGTTTGTAACTATTTGTAGTAGCTTGCTCAATGAAAAGGGTGAAACCCAGGCACATTGCAGTTGGATACCGGGAACGAGTAGAAGCCCGGGAATCTTGTATTACTACAAAGCTCAGGAACACTAGATTACTTCAAAGCCTGGGAATACTGGACTAGCTGTGTGGAACCCTACAAATGGCCAGTACCAGGACAATATATAGACCGGTTGTAGCCACCCAGGGAGATGAAGAAGAATTTAAAGTGGAACATGTTTTGAATGCACACTTCAAGCATGGAAAATTTGTCAGGCAACTAATGTGAAGCTATATAACAACACCAAATGTCTGGCCAAATCCTTTGAAAAAGGCAGTGGATCAAGGTATTGACATTGAAGAGTATTGGTATGAGTGCAAATCCAAACTAATATTGAACTAAGGAATAATACATCAAGTATCTACTCCTTATATAGCAAATCATAAAAGTCGGATCAAAAAGAGAAAGAATAAGAAAGTGGTCTAACTAAACAACTATGCAGTAGTAAAAAGAGGAGAAGTGGTACTATCTATCATAATTACTTATCACTGATTAATGTCCCACTGAAGTATTCCAGAGCACTGCTCTTGATTGGAGTTATGCCATTGGGATATCTTCTTGGGGGTGGGAGAGGAGTCTCCTACACTGTAAGTATGATAGAATATGAACGTGAAAGGAAAATAAGAAAAAGAAAGATAAAAGTAAGAGAGTACTAGCTATGACTTCTAATTCAATGGCGAGAGGAGTGACTGGGAATGGGTTGGATAACCATGACATGATGGGAATGCAATAGAAAAATTGATCCATTACAAAATTAGAGTTCCTAGTTCTCTGGAAGGGCTATTGAGATAAGGACAGAACGTGGAAACCAGAAGCCCATTTGGACAATTCCTGCGATGCTGTTTGTGAAGTTTATTCTAAAAATCCCTTGGCTCCTTGGAAGCTTAAAGGCATGGATTTGGAACTTCTTAATTCCCTTTTTCAACCAATGCCCAAATATTTAACTACTAACTCTACTTGGTCTCACCTGGAAGTCAAGCCTTAGGAGGGGGGTAGTGTTACAATACACAATTTGTGGACCTTCAACTTTCAGTCTCTGTTCCAACTTTCTTTCACACTTGTGCCATGCAGCACTTTTCCTTTCTTTCAAACTCCACTTAAACTTTCATTTTCTTGCGCTGCGCAGCTTCCTCTTATTTTTAGATACAACTCCCTCACATAGTGGAGCTGGTCACACAAGCTGCGCCCTACAACATCATCAGCCACTGCTTTTACCAAACTGTATAGTATACATGTACAAATAGTCTGTAGTTGTTGTATAAATACCCCAATAGATCAAGGAGACTCCCCAGCAAGTCCTCCTGTGGTTTACTCACAACTACAGTGACTTGGTCCTATTATAAGCAGTTTATCCCCTCCTCCACTCTCCTCTTTGCCTGTCTGAGTTGTGTGCCAGAGTATTTAAACTTTGGTTGTTACACCTTGAGTTATTGGTTATACCTTCAAGGAAGGCAAGTCCATGACAAATTATAACATTTGTTTGTAGTATGAGAAAACATGCATTGGCCAGGGCTTGAACCTGGGACCCCAGCTTTTATGGTCCGGTGCTTTTACCAACTAAGCTACCAAGGTGTACTACTGATTGGTTGCATGCCCAGTCCAGAATCACTGTACACGGGTGCAGATCCCATTGTGCATTGTGATAGTCTATTGAGTAAGTAGATCCGTCATTATTTGTCTGACATTGGTTTAGTCACAAAATGATTACATGAGATAATGGCTGGATCATTGTTCAGAGTATCTGCAAGTCCTCAAGCAGGAAGAGGGGTGGTCCCTAGGACAGACCTGCAGCCTTTGTTTAGTTAGAGAAAGAACTTGGCAGTGCACAGAATGTTTGGGGAAACCAGAGTATTGCATGTCATACTGCAGGGATGCTCACCAGAGGTTACCATTTCATAGAGTTGAGCAATGGGTGGGCACACATTTTGAACCTTCTTGGCTTTATAAAGCTGGCTTGGTAATTCATCTGGGCTATACTGGGAAACCATTCCCGGGACGTGATAACAACTATAGTCTAGCAGAGGATAACTCACCGGAGGGTAATTCCTGGGGGGATAGTACCCAGGTCAATTTTCCAGGTGCCCCATCAGACAATGAGGAAGGAGAATTATGGGAAGATGAAGAAGTACTCACAATGGGTGGTGTATGCAAAAGGACTTGCTCCACTGACATCAATGGCAACACAGTGATGCTTCTGGTAGACAGATCCAGTATGCATCATTTGCCTGTGACTTTTTACTGAGTGTCACCCTCAGTAATAATGGTTAGTCACATACAGTCACATATAGTCCCATATAGTCCAGCAGCAGTCCAACTTGCAAAAACTGTGACTAAAATCTGCAGGAAATAGTCAATTTTAGTCCGATAAAGTTGTGTTTCTCAGTCCAGGATAAGGGAGAACATAGTCCAACAAGAGTCCTACAAAGTCAAGCAAGAGTCCAACAAGGTCAAGTGATTCTGTAGTCCAGTGTAGTCTCAATTGCTGGTTGTTGCAAAAAATAGTCCAACTTAGTCACATTGCAGTCAAATAGTCCCAATTATACAAAATATATGTACATATAAAGCATACAAAAATGTAAGAAAGCATAAGGAAAGCACACAAAAAATTGTAGGAGAGCAACAAGAGAAAGCCTCTACTGCATAACGACCAAAAACAAAACATGTTCATGTTGTGCGAGCAGATTAAAATTTTGTCTTCAATCATTTCTTGACTGTGGGCGGATTTTTCTTCCCCTTCTGCTGTAATAGTAATACAAGTTAGTTGTGTAATGAGAAAAACAAATGTGAGACTGACATTAGATAAAAATGAATTAATTTCCCTCTTGGAGGGCTATTTCTTGGGGGGTAAGGCCAGTATAGTTGTTACAAGATCTACAAAATCATATCAGATGGTTAGAGTGGTAAAAAAAATCAATCAATACCTTTCTTATTCCTCTGTTTTAAGTTGGAGACGGTGACCCCACTGGTCTTGATCCACTCAATCAGCTCATTTTTCTTCAAGGTCTGTGAATTGAGCGTGAGTTGGTTTTTCACTGACAGATATAACATACTTACCTGGAATTCTGCACAACACTCTTCCTCGTTGGGTGAATCAGAATCACCAGCTGTGACTTGTGAAATAGGCAGGACAGAGGCAGCCACCGATGCAAGTATAGTGAGAGCTGAGACGGTGGAAACAGATGAGGGAGGTGCCATAGAGGCCAAAGTGGTGGATGAGATGATCAACACAGTCCAACAAAGAGTAGAGGACAAGGATAAATCAGACGAGGCCTTACCCTTAGATATTGGCTATAGAATTATTGATCAGATAATGGATACTTTGAGAAAACCAAGTACTTACCCCTCTGGCCGTTTTCCAGGCTGCCCACAAAAGGTCGAGAATGTTGCTCAGATACTTATCTGCAAGGAATGTCAAAGAATGAATCTTGTCCTGAAAGCATACATGTCTTGCAATTTGACACGTCTTTACAGCTGCAGCAATTAGATGCCTAGCTGTCTTGCAGTTACCTATTGTATCCCAGGATGTCAGTAGAGCTAAAAAAGTCATAGATCCAGAGGTAAACTAATGGTGGCCCCAAGAGATACCGTGGTTGTCTTTGTCAAAGTCGGAGGAGTGTGGATCAGCATGCTCAATACGCTTGATAAATTCAAGCACAGGGGGGGAAGGGAGGCCGGGGGAGAAGTCAGGGGATAACTCCATGGCATTGAGAAGATTAATGCCAGAGAAGAATGAGCTGAAATTACGAGAGATGATATCTAGAATGTTTCAGGCCTAAATTTGAATGAAAAAAATGGAGAACAAATACCTTTTAAATTGGATATAGAGGAATTGACTTCTATTAATCCTATGTTGTACCTTTTTGACCCAATATCCGAAGCAACAGACAAAAAAGACGGAGGAGCCAGCGACTTTTGAACAGGCACTGGCAGCAGGTGGAGGCATTAATACCTATGGATGAGAGTGATCCACTGCCATCCCAATATCTGAGTGGGTGCCCTCTGAAACAACACTGGTCACTGGTTGTTGTTTCTTCGCCGTTTCCAAGACACTTGACCTTGCTTGACACCTCTTTTGAGGCTCTGTTGCCATTCCTGTTCCTAATGATATAGTAGTGAGATTGGTGTCTTCATTGTCACCACTAATATCCACCTTGTTAGCTAGCTTACTGGACTTCAACACCTGGCCAAGGACGTGCTTGGCCTTCCAGTGGTTTGAGCACAGAGTTAGCAGCAGCTGCTGCTGCTCTATCTCCGGGAGGATGGCCTTCCACTGAGTTGGATACGTGGATTGATAATAGTTTCTTCCGTTTCTGGGATCAGCACTTTGGCAGGGGTACCTGCTCAAGCTTGAATTGAGCGAGATGGGTGCTGGCTTTGATGGCGGACTATTCATTGGGAGTAATCATGGTGCCATCCGCATGTCAGATCACATGCTCCATTGCGGGTCAAGCAGAATTCTGAGCTGTTAACCCGCCATCCTCGTCCTTCTTGCAGTTGTCAAAATGCCATAAGACCTCAACTGGGTATTTGTCAGGGCGGGGATGGGATTCTTGGGTGGATACAACAGATTTGCTTGCGAGATACTGGCTGCATGCGACGCAGAGTTGCTTGGATAAATTGTGGAGATGCCAGCACTAGAGGAGTAGATATGTTAGTCAACTACACTGTATTGTATGGATTACTTACGCAGAGCTGCTTTGTGAATTGAGGGCTGTTTGCAATCATGAGATTTCTTGCTGAAGATGGTGGTTTTCTTGTTGTAAGGTACCATTTTCTTCAGTCAGTTATTGTATATTGTCCTCATATCTCCAGATTTTTTTCCTCCAACTCGCATTGCTGGTTGATGTGCACATGCTCCTTAGCAATTTGTTAATCTGCAAGTGATGTTCATCTGGTTTCTTTGAGTTCCCCTGATAAATTGTTTAGGGCGTCTCAATTCTTCTAATGTTAATACCATTTTGTGTAGTGGTCATGCATTCAATTCTTTGATCAGATTTTTGTCAATATCTTGTCCTCTCTTTTTGTGCATCCAGCTGTTCAAGATACCAATAGATCTTTCTTCCTTTTGGTCTCAAAGTCTGTCAGCAACCCATGCGGCTGTCCATGATTCTTTATGATCCTTTGTTTCTAGGTTTTTATTAGAGGGGTGTCTGATCTCTTCGGAGCGTGTTGAAACATCAGTACCATTGGTGCTTCCCAATTGAGTCACCATATTTTGTGTGTTGTCCCCTCAGTTGCTGCACTTTTTATGGTTCTATCCCCTCTAGATACCTTGTGCATAGCAACTTTGGGAATATTTTCAGCCTGTTTCCCTTTCAGGTTTTCCTCTTTTATAGCTTCTTTCAATTTCAGATTTGCTGTATCTTTGGCTAATGCAATGTCATTTTCTTTTGAACTAATACATGTTTCTGAGACAGCAAAATTTTCGATTGAAAGGGAAGCATATCTATTGTTTGTAGGCTCAGTCTGACAAGGAATGACAGCTGGCCTCTTTAAAAATCCTTTAAGAGTTCATCTCTCTCTTCTTTGTTCATTCCTTCAAGCATGGCCCTAAGGTTGAACCTTCGTTTTGCAGCTATGCTGCCTCCTTCTTTATGATCTTGGGTTCTGTGCCCTTTCTCTCCACATTTGAAGCATCTGCCCTCAGCCTGATACTTCACTTTATCTACTTCCATCCTTTTTCCAGCTCCACCGTAAGTGGTTCCGGATCTGTCTAATTTCTCTTCCACTGTCTCAGCCTTTTTCTCCAGAGTGCCTCCTTGTTGGTACCTGCTGTTGGGTCCCTGGTACCAGAACCAGAGCTGCCGCCGGCTATACCCTTCATCATTTTCTTGTTCTCTACTTGATCACGCCAGAGCTGATCATTCATCACTATTCTTGTTTTCCATTCCATGTATGTTTTTGGGATGTTTCCCGAGTAAATGATTTGTTTTATCAATGATCCATTGATATTGTTTCTGATCAATGTAATTAAGAATTGTTTGTGCCTTCTTATATTGTATCCTGCACATCTTTGTGTTGCTCCGAATTTAACAAAGTACTTTTGTGCTGTGAGAGTTCCTTGTTTGAAGTACATTATCTTGTACTTAGCTCTTTCAAACACATCTTGGAAGTGCTCTTTGAGCATGGACTCAAAACGAGCCCAGCTTTCTATGGTGCACTCTGACTAGAGGTCACCAACTTTGTACAGCAAAAATAGCACCTGTAAAAATGGTTCATTTTCTTATTCCTCTGGTGAAAATGCATGTATTAGGTGTAAAAAAACTTTCATCAGAGGGATTCCCAAGATTCTCAAAATTGGGCAAGATATAAATCCCCACCTGGTCGTACAAACACCAAGGCTCAATATAGTAACTTGATTATCCTTTCATGGGTGTTCTAATCTAATCTATGTGCCACAGTCTCTGGAACATGACAGTGCAAGGAGTATCTACGAGAGCTGAATTGCTTTACCACAAATTGAGCCTCTGTGGCATCCTTACCACCTCTGTAAGCATCCATCCACCTGATTATCTGATGCTCCCACTCCCGAATGGTGTGAATATCCACTGATTCAAGAGCCTTTGGCGACTGCTCTTGCAAACCATCATAAGAGCAATTGCAGTGCTTGAAAAGGTATCTTTTGACTGCACCCCAAAAAAATTCAATGAAGTTAAGCTCACAGTGATACTTTGGCAGAAAAATATGCAGGTTACCAGCAGCCTCAATGGTTTCTTGGACAAGGGATATCTGTTCTCAAAAACCGGTGTCATGCACCAAAGTTGATTGGTAGCATGGACAGGTGTCAATAACAAAGCGAATATTCAAAAAGACTCACCTTTGCGCCACACAAGCACAGTGCCACGTGGAATAGTAATTAATATTGCCTGTTTCGAACTTGTGGCTGATCAGCACCACCTCTATTAGGCAATCCAGTCACGCTCACCTTTGCTTTTCCATTCGGTACTTTCCGCATTTCGGCATTTCGGCAAATTTTTGCATTGCCACTGGCTACACATTGCATTGCGCCCTCGCTTTTGTCGTATCCCTTACTCCCCTTCCTTTGCCTAGCCCCACCATGGGCCCCTTCCTCTCCTTTTTATTCTCACCTGACGGTCGTTTCTGGATCCCCATTCTAATCCACTTTTCCGTCACCTCCACCCTCCTCCTCCTCATCTTATTTGCACCCCCACCATTTCTGATGTCACCACTTCCTATCCGCTTCCGTCGCCAATCCGTAGACTACCACGTGCCACTGCTGATATCAGCAAAGCCCTGGCGGCCGGTCCAAATAGGGCAACAGGTCCATCTTCATGACGTCGATCTGCCATCATATACTATCAAAACATTGGCCGCTCGTCTTGCCTGGTTGGAGCGTGGGTTGGTAGTTTTTGAGCTGGAGAAGGTTCATCCCCTTGCGTCGCCCATGTTCATTGCTGTCCCATTCACTTGGGTACACTTATCTTTTGTCCATCGTCTTCGCTACAGCTACACCTATCACACACTGCCTGGGACTCACTTGTTCCAAATTGGAACTACTCCTCTCCCTCCCTCGTTTGATCAGGTGGTCCAACACAACCAGTCCATTGGTAAGGCCATGGAACTGTCGGATTTGGACTAGGTGGTGGACCGGTGGCTCCAGTTTCTTTTTCTTCAGCAGAACATTCATTTACAGTGCAATTATTTTTGATTTTGAATCATTTTTATGGACACATATTTTTTTAGAATGCCTGACTGACAATAAAGGAACTGTGTTGATACTGATAGTGTTTTGCCTTGCCCTTTTTTTACTGCATCTTCCCATGACATCATGATTTTCCTGCTCTCTTTTTGCTATTGGACTTTACTTTATGGCTGTACAAACCTGTGACATTACTCACAGCATTCATTGTTCTATCTCTTTCTTTTCCTTTTTTTACAATCTTATCCTGTACTACCTACGCAGGATTCGTCAGCATACATTCCTTCCTTCATGTTCTTTCTCATTCTTTTTGCACAGCTATACTGTGCATAGCCTACTTTTCTTTTACTATATAAACCCCTGTATTTTACCTTGTAAAGAGCAAGAACTCCATTCCAGACCTCTAAATTCAAGTTCAGTACTCTCTGCTACTTGTCATCCAGTGTGGTCACAACACTTCCCACTGCTACCACTGTTAATTGCTGTCATCATCACTTCCCACTTTTGAAGTCATTGTCATCCCTTTCAATTAGAGTCCTTCTGAGCACTACAGTTTGTGCATCAGGAGCCTGCTATCACTGGGAACCTCGTCATATTGTCGTTCTCAAACCTACCTTGTGCTACAATTAGCAAGGTAGTGCTCATCTATACTCGTCACTAAGCCCCTATCTTCTATAAAATTCAACTATCCCTCCTCCTCAAAACCCACACTCATACACCTCTGGGTTTTTACTTTGAAGGATCTTTATACGTACCACCCCACAAACAACCAGACCACTCCACTGTTCTAGGAGGCAAAGCCCATAAACAAGTTCCATGGAATCTGGGAGGATTGTGTGTTAGTTTGTTTTGTGTGTGGTTTTCTAACAGCAATTCTCATCATTGACATCGCGCTCTGTCTCCCTCAAAGGTGCCAGGGTCAGCAACAACTTCAACTTTCTTGTTGAATTTCTTTTCTACCGAGGGGTTTGCCGTAGGGGGATTTGCCTGCAGCTCAGTGAGTTGCGTGGTCAATGCCAGGATCTGTGCATGCATGTTGTGCAACAGAGCATTGACATCTTGTTGAGGTTGCAACGACATGTCGACTTGATCTCTTTGTAAAGTATAAAAATTGTAACTGGGGGTCCCCGCTTGCTATCTGCGGATCTACCTCTTCCCAGCTGAGTATTGGGTCTCAATCCCCAACTACTCACACTACAGTATTTGAAATTGTATATAAAAGTTATAGTATTAAACCCTGGTCCAAACGGTTGTCAGGGGGTGGTCCGCTTGTTAAGCTGTCAAACCTTCTCCAGAGTGGTGGAGGCAAGTGCCCGGCCTGGTCAGAGGAAAGAGAAAGTGAAGTTTTGTATGTAAATTCTAATCAACAGCGGTTCCACACCGACTGCTGAGCTATAGTACTCCCCTTAACACTGGGGGCCGCATATTGAAGGAATTGTTTCTTCTCCCAAAGCACTACAAGGCCGTCGCAAAGAGCGCACCTATCTGCTATACGGGATATTCCCAAACAATAGCCAAATCTCCTTCACCCTGGAGTCCGGGTGCCCAGTGGGACTTTTTGCACAAACGTGCAAGAGAGTAGCAAGAGCGAGTCCTAATGTAACAACCAAGAGTGACTTACTCTGGCGCACACAGAAACACACTATAAAGAAGATGATGGGAGTGGTTACCCCTTAAGCTGCAGAGAGTTTGTTGGTATACAACAGGAGGACTCACTGAGGAGTCTCCTGGATCTATTGGGTATATATACTACTACAGGGTTGTTTGTACATGTGTACTATACAGTTGATAGAGACAGTGGCTGATGGTGTCATGGGGCCTAGCCCGCATGGCCAGCTCCACTGTGTGAGAGAGTTGTGTCTAAAATAAGAAGAAAGGCAACGCGGCGCGAGAAAGAGGAGTTGGGACAAAAGGGGAAGTGCCGCGTGGCACCATGTGTGAAAGCTAAAGTACAAGGTTAAAGCGGAGAATGAAAATAAAGGAAAGGTCCGAAAATTGTGTTATCGTAACACTAACCAACCGAGCTACCAGCCCTTAGATATCAATGCTCAATTGCACAGTGTTATCTAACAAGGCCCAGGCTTTAACATTAACAATTCCAACACACCACCCCCTCCACAAAGGCATCAGGACAGCACCACCCCTTGAAAGAAGCACTGCATATAAAACATTTGTTGAGCAAACTGTCTTATCTGGCTCCTCTGGCAAAAAAAGAGGATGATATGGGCAAAATATATGTGAAGTTGACATGCCAAAGTGTATGTAAATTCAGCTTGCAAGAACTTATGTTGCTGATAATTCAGTAGGAGAAGGCACATATCACAAGAGACAGTTATAGAGTGACTTACAGTATGGTAATTTTGTTTTCCTCACAACTACAATTAATACACTTCCCAATGGTGGGCCCTTCAGGGGCATGGGAACCATATTTGCACTTATTGAAGATGGAAGTTCTCACTGATGATTCAAGTTCTGTAATGTGTCACAAAAATGTACTACTCTTCCTAGCATCCATGCCTATGCAATACTGTTAAGATAACTCACAGGTCAGAGATCTCCATAACTGAAGCAAAGGCATGATTCGGACACAGCTGGGTCCCCTGGAGGGCCACTGTATTCCTGGACCCAAACGGTCCAGGTTTCCATTGTGATAATGAAATCAGTAAATATCCCAGAACTTTTAGTTATTGACTGTACATGATGACATGAAATTGAACTTTTGGAATGTGTCTACATTAGTAGAATATATTAGATTTAGCCATGTGACCTCACATAGCCACCTGATCACAGGGAGTGGATAAAAGCAAAGTGGACCAGCTGGGGATTGAACCCAGGACCTCTGCCTATATATGGTGGTGCTCTAACCAACTGAGTTACCAGCCCTTGTACTAATGTCAACTCATGATGTATGTGGTCTAACAAGGCTAACAGGCTTTTGACCTTGACTATTCCAACAAAATATTATGGCAGGTTCTTACTAGTTGTGGACATTTGGGAGATCAGTCAGAACCATGGCTTGTGCTCCCTTATCAGAGACAAGGAAAAGTGGATGTTTTCTCATATTAAAAAATCATATGTGTACCCCTTCTTGACCGGGTTGGTCTTTCATCTTTTGCTTCTGTTGATTGCAGAGTGAACCATCATTTAGATTGTCTCCTGACTGAACATGGCCACTACATCACAGGCAAAGCAGAAGTAATGGATGCCTTATACTTGATTCTGATGGGGCTCACTCATTCCAACTATGAGTGATGTCTTTGTGCACTGCTCCAAGTCTCCACAAAAACCATTCATTGCCTAAATGCTTAACTTGCTAAGACCAAAATTTTCTATAAATTATTTATTTATTTGATCCCACCTTAAAAGAGATTGTTCACGATTAAAACCAGTGAAAGCTGGGTCCAGGTCTGCTCCGGAGGGCCATGCTATGCCATATTCTAGTTATATAATTCCATTCAAACAGTATCCACCCAGGCAAAATTCCTGCGACCAGGAATAAATGGAATCACATTGTCAAGTATGTACCTCTCAGGGTGCAACGAATAGCAAACTAACAAAGTAGATACATGCATATTAATATGTACAGGATAATCCTGGGATGATGGTAGGGGGAGCAGAGACGGAAATATGTAGAATGAGACGACATGGGCGGGTGTTGGAGCGTCTCCGTAATCAAATTGGGGTTATGAAAACTTCGTCCCAGGTCTTGGGCAATGACGGCAGTGCACGTAGGAAAGCTTTAAACCACATCTCGTAAAATCTATCTCCGAGTGTCGTTAGAGATTCAACCAAGTTGGTTGAGTCAACGCCTTTGGCAACCTTCGGACCTTCGTCCAGAAGTGGCATGATTTCTGTGAAAAAAGGTACAAAAACCTTCAGAACAGGGGAAAAATCATTATCTGGGAGACTTTTCTCGAACGTCCGCAGCGTGGATCCTTTAACGAGTCCACTCATGCGAGGATCGTCTGCAGCGAGTATTTCAAGAAGCCATTTTCTCTCTTTACCTGTTAAACTATTGCGCTCGGCGCCAATGCTCAACAACACGCATAATATCACCCAGAAGAAAGATTCCAAGTCATCCGCAAATGTATGAAGTATGGGTTCATCATCATCCCACGCGTTCAGCAAGCGCATAGAAATGAAAGGGAGTGTTCCCTGAAATGATTTTAAGACTAAATAACAGGCTAGCCCGAAGATGAGCTACTTACCGAACGACGTTGCTCAAGCTCGCGATCTAGCTCTCGCCATCTGATTGCCTGGTCACCGTCATTGCTCACGCTCACGCACTTTGTCAAGTTCTTGGTGCATTCGAACCTAGAATACTTTAACATCAATACCGCTTTGAGCTCATTATCAATTTAAGAGGACTTACCGTGTTAGAGGCTTTCGTATTTGGGGCACTGGAAACAATAGAACGTTACCATCGCTGACATCGCGGTGCAGCCATCCATCCTTATACATATTATAGTGACCTAGAAAGGGAGCATCAGTCCTGAGCGACGTCAAAACGGGCAATACTCACCCATCATTCCGTGGAAGATGCCTTCTAAGAATTCGTACGGCCCCACAGCCGTGTGGAGCTTACGGTACTCTGTTTTCGATATCAGCCGCTTGTGTATTCTGTTCTCCATCTTCTTGCCTTCCTTGTGTTCTTCCTTCTCAGATTGTGTTTTCTTCCCCCGGTATATTATTTCCTCCTGATCAAATATTTTTCGAATCTCCTCCTCAACCCATGCTCCCTTTTTTCCATGTTTAACCCTATACTGGGCGTAAACTTCAGGTATTCCCATCTCTCCTTGAATGTCACGAAAAACTTCCATCTCGTCACGGCCCTCCAAAGCCCATGCGTCTTTCAGGACAATGGAAAGCGGCGGAGGAAGGAGGTCGAGTTCAGGGATGGGTGAAGGTTGGTAAGTGGGGAAAACGGGGGATTCATCGTTGCGATCAATTCCTTGCCATTCAAGCTGCTCGGAGCCCTGATCCTGATTGCCTGCTGTGTGATCAGAGTGTGACTTGTGGCGCTTGCTGCTTCCAGTTTTGACGACAGGTTCGCGTGATCGTTTCCCAATACTTGAGACGTTAGAGGTTCGATTAGAAGAGGGTGCGACGCCTTCAGTGCGCAGGCGTGAGGTGGAGGTGGGATATCGAGAAGTGGAAGTATGTATACTCGGAAGGTCTATGATATCGCTGGGTGGATCATCGGATATCTTTCTCGCGTCATCGACCTTTCGCAAACTGTAAACATGTGTGACACGGCCCCGTATAGATTGCCGACGACAGAGCAAGCCAACGACCTCGTAAAGACCCCAGTTTGGGATCAAGAAGTAGTGATTGTTCCGCGATGGATCGATCCCAGCCTTCGAATCGTTTTCCCATGATAGTATGCCCACTATGCCCTTTACAAAAGCGGTAAAGCCATCCTCTGTCTCTAGACTCAGTGCAGGGCTGCAAATTACGCCAGATCTTTGATAGATGCAGAATCGAACTTCGGAAGTTTTGTAGTTGAAGCCGATAATCAAAACGAAGTAACGGTTCTCGTGAGCAACGAAGGTGCATCGTGCGTATGTACCAGCCTGTTTAATCAGCCCATTCCAGTTGTCCTTCACCTCGCACGCGATAGCGAGATCTTGCCACGACACTCGACCATCCAGCTCCGAGTCGTCGGCGACACCGTTTAAAGACACTAAATCTGGCTTCAATGCATGGGTAGTCCCGCCCTTCATTGCTTTATTGTAATTGTAGAAGCGTAGACCGTGATAATAGCGGTCCTTAGGGATTTTAGGGTCTGCGGAAAGGTGAGATTCGGAAGTATTGATGATCCGGTTCAGGAGTTTCGTGAATGGTAAGTAATAGGCACTCTCTCCCGCAGTCGGCTGGGGCCAATTTTCTTGATCAAAATTAAACCCTTGGTCAGAGAAAATTCCTTGTTCTCTGAGTTCTTCCAGGACGTTGTGCGTAACGCCATCATCTGCGGGACACAAGTGTTCCATCACCTTTTTGCTCTCGAAGTGTGCATCATGTAGTTCATGGTGAACCAGTTCTTCCATCATCTTTTGATCCCGTGTTGCCCGCTCTTTAAGCATCACGTTTTGGTCAGAATACCTTTGTGACGTGTGTGTGCTTTTGGCTAGAGGAGTGCTTTTCACTTCGCGAGAGGTCAAATTGGGGGGGCGAGGAGGAGTGATGTTTGGCTTTGAGTCCTGCGTTTTTGATGCGGATGGCTCTGAATGCGGGGATTCTTGACTCATCGTGAAAGGCCTTTGTCTTGGATGAAACAAAGCTGTATGATGTAGCAATCACGATACACTGCGCGACGCTGGCGCCTACATGTACCTACATGTGAACCTGATCATGTGACCGCTATAGTACACCAGGCTCCTCCCCATCGAGGTTCAGAATGTATCCTACACCGCCATCCTGGCGAGATGACACATTGACATTTCGGGATAAGGTTGGCCCGGTTAGGCCTGGACATATCTGGAGGATGTAGGAATGTCTGTAGAATACCAAAACGTCAAATCATACAATGTCTCAATGATATACTCTAACAAGGTTTTCTGAGGAAGTCTAATTGTCAACAGCACGAGTCTCTATAATGACCCCAGTCCATGTCTCAGTAGTATTCTATTGGTACCATAAAAGCCTTCTGCTCGAGAGTGTCTCAAAAATAGCTCAACATTTGATAGATAGGCCTGTGTAGAATTTCAGACAATAAGAAAAATAAAGCTTGAAGCTATGTATTATTGATGATGTATTTAATAACAACGAAAAATATTTAAAATGAATGTTTTATTGTAAAAGAGACTTGTAAACTCAGACTCGAGGTGATTGACTTCGACTCGACTCGACTCGGCTGGTTAAATTCATCAGGCTCCCTCAGCACCACTGTTTGTGTCAACATTTGTAGCCCTTGCCAACCAATTAACTTCCCCCACCCTTGGCAGCACTTTCAAGAGGCTTGACAAAACCGGATAAACCCGGTCTCTGTTACGATAACACAATTTCCGGACATCTCCTTTCCTTTTATTCTCCGCTTTAACTTTATACTTTAAAGTGCCACGCGGCATTTCCCTTTCTCACGCCGCGTTGCCTTTCTTTTACTTTTAGACTTAACTCTCTCACGCAGTGGAGCTGGCCATACAGGCTAGGCCCTATGACATCATCAGCCACTGCCTTCATCAAACTGTATAGTACACATGTACAAACAAACCTGTAGTAGTATATATACCCCAATAAATCCAGGAGACTCCTCAGTGAGTCCTCCTGTTGTATACCAACAAACTCTCTGCAGCTTAAGGGGTAACCACTCCCATCATCTTCTTTATAGTGTGTTTCTGTGTGCGCCAGAGTAAGTCACTCTCGGTTGTTACATTAGGACTCGCTCTTATTACTCTCTCGCACGTTAAGTGCAAAAAGTCCCACTGGGCACCCGGACTCCAGGGTGAAGGAGATTGGTTAGGGTTAGGAATATCCCAAATAGCAGATAGGTGCGCTCCTAGCGACGGCCTTGTAGTGCTCAGGGAGAAGAACTCAAAAACCTACGATACGCGGCCCCCAGCGTTAAGGGGAGTACTTAGCTCAGCAGTTGGTGTGGAACCACTGTTGATTAGTTTTAGAATACAAAAAAAAACTTCTTCTTTGAATACCTCTGACCAGGCCGGGCACTTGCCTCCGCCAGTCTGGAGAAGGGCTGACAGCTTAACAAGCGGGCCACCCCCTGACAACCGTTCGGACCAGGGTTTATTACGATTACTTTTTATATACAAAATTCAAATACTATAGTGTGGGTAGTCGGAGATTGAGATCCGATACTCAGCTGGGAAGAGGTTGATCCGCAGATAGCAAGCGGGGACCCCCAGTTACCTTCTTTTTTACATTACCAAAGAGAACAAGTCGACATGTCGTCGCAACCTCAAGATATGAATGCTCTGCTGCACGCCATGCGCACGCAGATTGCAGCATTAACCTCACAACTCGCCGAGATACAGGCAAACCCCCCTGTAGCAACCCCCTCGGTAGAGAAAAAGTTCAACAAGAAAGTCGAAGTCGTCGCTGACCCTGGCGCCTTCGAAGGAGATAGAGCGCGATTCGCCGAATGGTGGATCAAACTCCAGATTTGGGTCAAGGCGAACTGGGACGCGTTTGCCGATGATTTTGAGGTAGCCACTGCGGTGCTATCTCGCCTAAAAGGACCTGTGGCGGGTCGATACGCCCAAGTACGATTACAGGAGTGCTACACTGCGGGAGTGTGGCCGACCTGGGACGATCTCAAAATAGAGATCGAAAAATATTTCAAACCGCAAGCTGAGCGAGACTGGGCGCGTCAGCAAATCCGTTCCTTCAAACAAGGAAACATGAGGACGGATGATTTCGTAACCCGGTTCCTGGCCCTCTCAATCCAAGGGGGTCTTGGTAATGAACATGCAGTAGAACTGCTAGAACGCAATGTGAACCCTCGCATTGCAGAGCAGATCTATCTGCAGGATACAAGGAGCGACAACTTGGCCCTGGCGGCTGAGGAAGTACGACGAGTCGGTAGAGCCATAGAGCTCTACACCATGCACCAAGGTGGCGGGTCCACCAAACAAAACAACACACCCCAGAGGCGCCCTGGGTCATCAAACCAACATCATAATCACTCTCACGGGTTCAAGCCGTTCGGGCTGCAGCCAGGACAGGGTGCTCCTATGGATATCGGCGCAGTCCAAGGCGGACAAATGCGCAGATTCAAGGGCAACTGTTACAACTGCGGCCAAGAGGGACACATGTCCCGAGACTGTAGAAATGGGGCGCAGGCTGCCCAACAAAAAAATAATCAAGGGCGCCAGGCGCGCCAACTAGAAATCGAGAAGCCGGACGATCGGCTCAACTCTTTGGCCGGTCGTTCTTACGACGAAATCCGGGCCTTCTTCTATGACCAACAGGTCAACGAAATGAAGGCTCAGGGAAAAGAATTGAGAGCTTAGGTCACTTGGGTGCCTTAGCTCCTGGTAAAAATGAAGTAAACCACAACAAAGTGGCCCCTGCTCCGGGGTGTTGCACGAGCAATAACGGAATGACGGGGATGGCTCCCCAATTTGTAAATAAGTTTTTAAATTTGTTATCAGAAGTATGTACTTGTATGAAGAAATGTAACTGCAATATTTATGATACTACCGCTGCACCAGCGTCTCCCTTGGAGCGTGGCCCCGGCGAGACAAACACTAGGGTGCTTGATTCTGGTAAAACAAAAATAGAAAAACATGTATCATTTTCCCCTTCTCCTTCTATTCTTTCTTCATCGGAGCCACACTTTCCCGAAATCCCAAGGCGTGTGTTGATGCGCACGTATTTATTCCAAAAGGAGATCCGTTTAGACGTTGGCGTGGAAAACCTTGCCAGGGGCAAAGTACACTCAACGAGCGCGCTGCTTGATTCAGGCGCTAACGGAATCTTCATAGATCAGGTCTGGGCGAAGCAAATTGGACTCCCCCTTGTAAAATTAGAAACATCTATTCCCGTCTATAACGTTGACGGTACGCTTAACGCAGGTGGCTGTATTACACACAAATGTTCTTTTGTGGTCGAATACCAAGGACACAGAGAACGAGTCACTGCCGAAGCTACCCAACTAGGGAAGATTAATTTAATCTTAGGCTGGACCTGGCTATTTAAACACAATCCTGAGATCAACTGGCAGACAGGGGTTGTCACATTGTCACGTTGTCCCCAGGAATGTGTAAACTTGGGTAACACAAATCATGTCCGTCACAATGAGCGTCTCGAAAAGTTAAACGCTAGTCACGTTTACGAGCTCAGATCTTTGGAAAAGATTGACGATGATGATGATGAGGTAAAACCTGAGGAAGAGATTAAGAGGCTGGTACCTCCCGAGTACCATGACTTCTGGAAAGTCTTTTCTAAACACAAATCAGAGCGCTTCCCAGAGGCTAAGCCTTGGGACCATGCTATAGATTTGAAGGACACTTTCAAACCAAGAAAAGGACATATGATACCGCTCTCTGCTCCTGAAAGAGACGAGGTATCTAGCTTCATAGATGAACAACTTAGGAAGGGTTACATCAGACCTTCCAAAAGTCCTATGACATCCCCGGTGTTCTTCATTCCTAAAAAAGATGGTAAGAAGCGCATGATTATGGACTATCGTTACGTGAATGAGCACACGGTTAAAAACGCGTATCCGCTGCCTTTGATTAGTCAGCTAGTGGACAAATTGGCTGGCGCCAAGATCCTGACAAAGATGGATCTCAGATGGGGGTACAACAATGTACGAATCAAAGAGGAAGATGCTTGGAAGGCCGCGTTCACGTGCCACCGAGGATCTTTCGAACCCCTTGTTATGTTCTTTGGGTTGACCAATTCACCGGCGACCTTTCAGAGCATGATGAATGAGATCTTTGCGGATATGGAAAACTGTGTCGTCATTTACATTGACGATTTATTAATATTTACGAAGTCGGACGATGAGGCTGAGCACGACAAGATCGTGCAAGAAGTCCTTCGACGCTTACAGGAACGGGACCTATTCGTCAAACCCGAAAAATGTAATTTTAAAGTGAAGGAAGTAGACTTCCTCGGTATGATCATAGGCCAGAACGGAATCAGGATGAACCCTGAGAAAGTTCAAGCTATCTTGGAGTGGCCAGAACCTACTCGCGTCAAAGGAGTTAGGGCCTTCCTTGGCTTAGGCAACTTCTACCGAAGATTTATAGAAAACTTCGCTAAAATTACGAGACCGTTGAACGATCTCACAAAAAAGGACCTTGTTTGGCATTGGGGCGCCAAAGAACAGGAAGCTTTTGACAAGCTTAAACAGGCATTTACAACAGCACCCATATTGGCATTTCCAGAGTTAGACAAAGAGTTCCGGTTAGAGACCGACTCTTCTGACTTCGCCACTGGGGCTGTTTTATCGATCAAATGCCCTGACGATCTTTGGAGGCCTTGTGCCTATTTATCGCATAGTTTGTCGCCTACAGAGCGCAACTATCAAATATACGACAAGGAGATGCTGGCCATCATTAGAGCTTTAGAGCACTGGCGGCACTACCTAGAAGGTGCTAGGCACCAATTCGAAATTTGGACCGATCATAAGAACCTAGAGTACTTCATGACGGCCCGAGACCTGAACCGAAGACAGGCCCGCTACGCGGTGTACTTGTCAAGGTTTAATTATAAATTAATTCATAAGCCTGGAAGCTCAATGGGGAAAGCAGATGCTTTATCCAGAAGAGAGGATCATGCCAACGGCATTGAAGATGATAACAAAGGTGTCACCCTGATAGATCAATCAAGG